TCGTAATGAAATTAAAAGTGGTTGTAAGATAATGCGCCAAAATATTATTGACTAGAATTCAACTCTAATAACTTGCGTATCTAATGCTAGTTCTTTCAATTGAAGAGAACTATTTGCTAATGTCCAGTTTAGAGAGCAGAGTTGACTCCTAGAGCCTCTCGGTTGATAAACTAGTTTTGTCCCATCCTTTTCTGCATCAAGCTTAGATCTTTTGTTTTGGTCATGACTTCGTTAAATGTGCACTAATCAACGTCGAAATCATGACCTCAGATTTGGCACTGTCTTATCACTAATATATATATATTTCAAATGGCAGGCGTTATGATAGGCACCATTAGCCCTTTAGTTGACTTCGGGCTTCACAGAAAGGAAGAGGAACATCAAAGTGGAAAAAAGTCGAGAGGGAGAGGGAACAGAATAATGATTCACAGACGTAAAAGTGACAGACAGACAAAAAGGTAGAAAAAAGGTGAGGTGAGTACTGTGGAATTAGTCGAATATGAAATGCAGTGTGGTCTTAGTAGTTTGAAGTCAGAAGTCAACTGCCGATTAATAGACTTTTTTTGCCGTATGAGTATACGTTGCCCAGGGTGCACCACGTGGGGGTAAGTCTATCGCACACCCCTTATTTCATGCATTTAGAGCGTTGGTAACATGATTCTTGTCCTACACAGGAGGTGAGAAGTGAATAGTGGGCAAAAAACCTTTTCAAAAGGCCACTTAGCCTCTTGTCATATATTTATGGAAAGTTGATACAATACCCAAACCTTATTATCTTTCCAATCACTGTAAATAGAAGAAATCTGAAGTTATTCACAAAGAATAAGCTTGGACAAGTCTAAGTTGGTGTGATGGAAGAGGGTGTAATTTTGAAACTGAATCCCAATGCGGAATCCATTCTCCATTGCCAGATCACAAATTATACTGTTTGTGTAGATGTGAGGTGTCGATAAGATGAAAGGTCTTGACTAACTTATCATCGTCGACATCGAGATAATTTCCCAATTACTAAACTCTTATTCTTTAGATGATTGCCTATTGAAATCTACGTAGAAGGCTAGGAGTTTGTTTGAAAAATTTTGTCATAAGGAGTTGCGTTATGATGATGAAACGATTTATCCTATTTAACCATATCCTAAATCTCTCAGAACTTCCTTGCCTTGCGTCTACTGCCCTTTTTGCCCATATACCAACGATAAAAGACCTCGCATCCCCTTGGGTAATAGTATTTGGTGGCTGCTTGAAGATGATGATTGGTTGTTAAAGTTGTTTTGAACAGGTAAAATGCCGGTTTCACTTTGAATTTTGGCATCGTATTAATATGTTTGCCTTTGTCTAAGTGTGTGTACACGTTTGTCTTCAGCGTCAGGCCTTCGACAACACCATGTTTGTGGCCACAAAATTGGCTATCGGTGTGGCCATCAAGTCCTATTTTCTCACGGCCGGTTTCCTGTACGTGTTTGCATTGCCTTTTATTCTCCTATTCGCCTCCCTCCTTCGAATGCACTTATTTAACCTTGCTTTTGTAGTTATGTCCCCCTTGTGATATCTGCTTACAGAGGAAAGTCAACACAATGGGATCATGCTATAAGCTTCGGTAAGTTATTTTGCCATTGTTTATACTAAAATTCCCCCCCCCCCTCCCCTGTTTATCTGCCATCTTTCATTACAAAATGCCCTATACATAAGCAATGCATTAATATTGAATAGTTGTATAGGTATGAGAGATGTACACAAAGAGCACCACTAATATGAAATCTTAATGTTGGATGCAAAGAGGAGCTTGATAAACCAACCACTCCTCCTATCTTATTTTGCACTGCCTATTATACGCAATTCCATAGAGGTGCTACAAATGTAGGCCAGTTCAGCGAACTGAAATGTGAAAAAAGACGTGCTCATAAATATGATCTCCGCGAGTATGTCAAAGCAGGGAAAGAATACTGGAATGCAGAAAGGGTAGCTGCAAATACTCGCGGAACGTCCTACAAGTTTGAGGCCAATGCCCAGTGGTGCACTTCCAGTGGGGTGGGTTAACTCTAGCCAACATGAGGGATGATAGGGTTATATGTTTCTCACAAGGGCGGTTCCAGCCTACCTTCCACTACCCAGATCAAGTGTCGTTAATCTTTTCCCAATGAACTCTAGAGGTTTTATAAAAAGTAAGGCCTAAGGGAAGAATAGCAATAGTAATGGACTGCTCACTGGGTGATCTGAAGTACTTGGGAATTGGGTCTCTCGGCTCATTCGCTGGAATTGTTATTTTTTTCAATGGAAGCTGAAATTCTATTATTTCACTCGTTAGCCGGGATCGAATCTTACAGTTCGTCAATCATTTTGCACCTGCATGCCTACTGTCGAGCATCGAATTTGTGACCCCTTGCTCAACAGATGTGCTCGTTGGCCATTGGATTATAGTGTGCACACCTAATCTAAACCTTAAATTTAGTTTCTACTTGAGTAGCTAGGGCAACTTATTCATTAAAATTTAAGCAGTGCTTCATTATTTGATTTAGCTAAATGAGCTTTTTTTGATTGAACAGTCTACTTGAAGCACCTTGAGAGGGGGTGGGGATAAGATTGAAAGTAGTAGGTATTAGAGCAAATGTCTGATAAACAACAGGTGCTAGTTTTCCCGGCAAGATGCTTAAAATAAATCTAAATAAAGTCAAAGGGAGAATCTTTATGCATTCACATGCTTTAAAGTGCGTCTGAGGTGAGTATTTGGAAGAGTTGGCTCTCGTAACAGCTATGACGTTGTTAAGTCACCACTAGACACCACCGTGAAGTAGATGGAATGATAGCACAAGGCCATTGTCAAGATAAATCAATCCAATCGGCAGAGAAATTTTTGGCTTGATTAGGTTATTATTGGCTAAAACCGCCAATAAAGCTGATTCCGATCTCTATAACATAAGTCCTCAACTTTAGTGAATCCAACGGAGAAAATGATTTAGTTTGAATTGGGGAAATCAAATTCCAAAACTTATGAACTAAGCCTGTCTTATCCTTGTGCCTAAACTACACGTTTGTCCAGTTAGTGTAGTGCATACTAGCCCTTTTAATTTTGAGTGTATTTGAGATTAATGTAATTTTCTTTTTTTCTATACTATTTTAGGTGCCACTCTTGGTCTGTTCTGTTTTCCGCGTGGTTTAAGACCGTGTTTAGTCGGGTCGGGCGTAGGGTTTTCCGTTGGTCTTCTTTACGGCTATCTGTACTACCTGGGAGCTCGGAAGTGGGGTTATCGATACGAAGACCTGAAAAGTAGGCAATTCCTCAATATAAAACCTATGTAAATGCAAAAAATTGATTTATTTGTAGCTTGTATTGTTGACTCTTTTTGTTCTTATTGTTGTGAGAAGTATCAAAGTGGGAGTGGGGGGACGGAGGGAGGGTGGGGGGGGGGGGGGGGGGGGGG